GGGACCCCCCCCCCCGGGCAGTGCCCTCTGCTCACTTTGGTGACGGGTAAAGTGCAAAGGTCACATTTCGTTGTGTGTAGTGCTGTGCTGTGACTAATAATAGCTTTTCACTTTAAACTTTTCACATTCGGATGCATTTTAAGGTAATCTACCCACTTTTCGGTGATTTGTGTTTTTTTTAATTTTTTTTATACGTTGATCAGTTACTGTTCCACTGAAAAAACGATTCTTTATTCTTTACATGCCCTTCCTTCTTGCTCTTCTTAAGGACCTTCAAGAACGATCCCGCAGTCCTCTCACTTCCCAGAACCCCTTGCTGACTGAGGCTAGTCTGCTGACTTTACCCGTGGTGGTGTCACTCATCAACCTGCTGCTGCCTGGCTTGTTTAACCTTGCAGCCTGGATGGAGGAATACGAGTCACCCTCTGTTTGCACATATGTCGCCATCAGCAGGTTAGCAGTATGAACTTAAGGCTGCGTCAAATAAAAAAAAAAATGTTGCTGTTAAAACAGTTCAATATCACATTCGCTTATAATTCATTTGAAGAAACGTTGACGCAATGTTTGCTCCTGGCACCTTCTAGGAACCTGATGTTGAAAGTGAGCATTCTCAGTGTCCTCTGTTACCACTGGCTGGGTCGGGTGGTAACTGACCTCAGTGACGTCATGGTAAATATTAAGTTTATTTATTTTTAGTTTTAGGTTGGGTTTTTTTTTCACAATGAAAAACAACGAATGCTCTTTTCAGTTTCTGACTCAGTTTCTGACTCCATATTATGTTTTGATGTTTAGTGCTGGGAGAATTTTGTTGGTCAGGAGCTTTATCGATACCTGCTCATGGATTTCATCTTCACTTTACTGGACACCTTTTTAGGGGAATTTCTTTGGAGGTAAGTTAAGCCTGGCACAAGAACACATACAATTTCAAGGGGATGACATCATCTGGATTTGACACTGTAGATATTTACTCTGTTACTGTTTATTATCTACAGTCAGTGGTTCTCAAACTTTTTTTTATACTCTGTACCACCTGAGAAAACACTGAGCTCTCTGAGTACCACCTTGATGACCAACATTAGAATTCCCCTGCTCGTTTCACGTTCAACATGCAAGTGATCCCGTGATTCTGTGCTTACGTGAGCAACAGACTTGCGTTGCAGCAAAAAACAAGTAATTAAATAAAAAGACCAGGCGTCCTATTTCATAATCTCACAAGCAGCTGCACGTTTTTTCTAAATGTTGTATTAATTGTGCATGGTATGTTTCAGATTTATTCAATTGAAAATGTAAATGTGAAAATATATAATTTTCCCCCGCATACCACTAGAGGGCGTTCGCGTACCACAGTTTGAGAACCACTGATCTATATCATAATCTAGCGGCACAATTACTATTTTTCACCTTGTACTACAAATACTGCTGCTTCTACTATTTCACTTGCTTAAAAATGCGCAAAGAAGAGCTCGACAAATTATTATTATTATATTATTATTATTATTATATAAAGTGATTCAGAATTCAGCACATGATCCATGTCTACTTTCAGAGCTATTCAACCCCATTTTATTCACTTTATCACGCTCACAACCCCCCCCCCCCCCCCCCCCCTCCCCCCCCAAAATGTCTAACTTGCCTGAGTTAAAATATGTTTGTGGAAATTTTGTGGCAGTGAGTCAAATGTTTGTTTAGCTGCTACAGCTAACTTGAGTTTTAGGAGTGTCTTTTGTTTTAAACTTAATTTAATTACATTTTTTTTTTAAATACCTTTTTTGATCTCCGCAGGTTGTTTACAATTTAATTTAATTAAAAAAAATTTGAAATACCTTTTTTTGATCTCCGCAGGTTGTTTACAAAAAATGTCCTAAAGAGGAGGAGGAAACCAGTGTTTGATATCGCTAGGAATGTCCTGGATCTTATTTATGGACAGACCCTAGCATGGTACAAACATTGTTTGTGAAAATAACCAAACAGTTAATATGCGTATTACAGGCTGTTTATCTGTTGCAACAAAAACTCTTCGTGTCTTCCAGGTTGGGTGTACTCTACACTCCGCTGCTGCCTGCAGTGCAGATTCTCAAACTCTTGATACTCTTTTACGTTAAAAAGGTACGGAAGTCCACAGGTTATAGTTTCCTTTCTCTGTATCTCTCTCCTATCTCTCTCTCTCTCTCTCATCCTTAGAATTGTTTTTACTTTGCTTTATGGTTAAATAAATAAAGTTGGTTACAGAGAGCCTCAGTCCTTTATTTATAGCTACAATATTTTTCTATTTTTTTTTTTTTGTTTTTGTTCACAGAGCAGTGTGATGATGAATTGCCAGGCTCCTAGAAAGCCATACAGAGTGAGCCAGATGAGTACCATCTTCATCACCCTTCTCTGCTTTCCGTCATTTCTCGGAGCCTCTGTCTGTGTCACGTACACCATGTGGAGGTATGATACTGCTTGGCTTTCTACGTAGAATGATTTCACACAAAGTTGCTCTATGGCAGTGGTTCTGTTTTGCCCCCTCCCCCTCCCCCTTGAGGACAGAAATGCTTTCACACCCCTGTATGAAAAAATGGATGTATGAGTTGCTGCCACCTAGTGACTGGAGGCTTATTATCATTCAAGCATAACAGCAGTGGTACACTTATGTCCAGCTTGCCATATTCCATTGGAAGCCACTCACGCCCCCCCTAGGGGGGCCCGCCCCCCCCCTTTTATGAGGACCGCCCCTTGCCCGGCAAGCTTATCTTTAAA